AGAAGATCAACGATGGTTAACACTTTGCACAGTAATTGCTTCCTGATTCATTTTGAAAGATTGTACTTTGTTTTTCTAGCCTAATTAAAACTAAGAAAGTCAGACCTACATGGCAATACATGGAAGGACTCAGCTTCCGTCTTAGTTATTGTTATATAAATTATCAAGCAGTAATCTCTCTGTCTACAAAGAAATTTAGAATCTTGTGTTCAGCACCTCTCTTGACAGCCTAGCTGACACGAAGAGTTCACTGTATGGGTAATTCTTTGGGGAAAGCACAATTCGTACCATCTGATGGTCACTGTGCTTCAATGGTCAATATATTGAATTCATATAAAAAATTCCAATTCTTTATTTTTCTTATCCTAAAGGACACTATTTCCAATGCCTTGATGTTGCTCATCCCAGTTACACTGCACCAGTGTGCTGCTTGCCAATCGCTTTACATTTATACAAATGCCATTCACACATAAAAATGAATTCTCTATCACCACTTTGCACAAACATGAAATCTATGCCATCTCCAGTTAAACAGGCACTGCCTCTTAACTAAAGGCAAATTGGAATTGGCTAGTTTTTTGGAGGAAAATGGAAAAAAGCCATCATACAAAGTGCTAGAAATAAATCCCTTGGTATATCTAGGGAATGTTTTCTGCAGATATATCCTCCAGGTTATTTTGGGAAAAATTAAAAGAATTGGCTTTTTTTTATCACAGCTGTGAGTTGCAAACAACTGCTCTGAGCAGTAAGCACTGAGAAATAGAAAATCGGATAGAAAAGACAACTCTGATCACCTTATTAAAAACGTAAGCACTGACATGAACACAAACTGCTCCCAGGCTAATACCCCAAAGACAGTTAACTCTTCAATAACTGAATTTCCTTTGCCGAATCCAAAATACATTTTCGTTTTCTATCATATTTGTTTCAACAGATATTGGTAATAACTATAAGACAGGCATACACGACTATGCAAAACATGAACTTTCTAGCAATTATTTCCATCTCATTCCTTTCCCTCTCCTCTGCCCTATCATTTTATCTTCACATTAGCCTGTATGGTTGGGAGGTTAGACTATCCAGTCTTCAGACATGTCCGTGGATGTTGTCAATGTTATTATGTGCTTGGCATGCTGCCGGGTGTGCTTGATGAGTGGGTGAAAGAATCCCTGGGCAATTTTCATTGCTTTCACAGAAAACCTATCTCGAGACTTGTGAAACTCTTCCTTTGTAAAATTCTAGCTAATGTCTTTTGACTGGTAATCTGATATTTTTATCATTGTAGCTACTGAGATTCTTGAAATTGGCAAGTTTGGAAATACAGTAAAACAAATCATGGTAAACGTGATGTTTATATCTGGTGTAGAATTGTTCTGAGTAGCTTCAAAGGAAAATGTGTGCTCCATTCATAGATATATCATCTTCATTCAAATCACTGCTTCAGTTTCAGGATCATTTGAGATAATATATGAATGCATTATGCCCATTTGCTTTGTAAGCATCTGAGGTATTGGTGGGGAGGTGGTGGGACTGCTACAGTGGAAAGTTTGTAAGGGCTGGTAATATGATATAGAAGCTGGTTTTAATATAGATCTTTAATATTTCCTCAATATAAGAAATATTAAAAATGTTGTAAAGTACTACTCACAGTAACTGGTCTATGGTCATGTGTATTGTATTAAGACCGCAATATTATTATGTAAAATATTTTATTTTTTCAAAAAAATCAATTATGCTAATTAAAAACAACAGATCCATTTCAAATAAGAAGGTCACCTTATTCAAAGTAGAATTGCATTGAAGATAATGCAACATATAAGGAAGCTGGGATTTTTCTAGAGAACCTGAACAAGGAGCTGCTGCCCCCACTTAAAAGGTCATAATCAAAATTGCTTTTGAGATTAGCATTTTTATGTTTTGCCTATTCTGTAGAAGCAGAACGATACTTTCTTATTTCCCAAATAATGTATAATTAAGTCAGTGATTCAGTACAAGTCTGTCCTTAAACCATCTTTCAAGACGTGATTTTAAGAAAAATATGATCGTTTTCTGCTGAATGTCACATAACACCCTGTGATTTTTGTCCTATTGGATATTTTTATCTTAATATCCAAATATGTGAGAGGTTGTTTCTGATTCATGTGACATCACTGGAAAACACAGACATGTTTAGCAATTCTGTAATGCAGGATTTAGTTGTCAAGCACCGGACATAACCCAGGCCCTGTGGATAAAGAGACACGCTAAAAATGTCAATTAAGAGCTCTGGTAATATTTCAAAAGATTTGTGGGTTAAAATACATGTTTAAAAATGCTACACTTTTTGGACAGTATCTTGCGGTAAACTCATTATTCTGATTGTTAACCTGTTACACTGCTGCGTATGTCTGAAGACAATTCTTGTCTGTATAGTGTGTACCTTCAGTACATAGCGTGCGATTCTGCTGACTTAAACAATACACGAGATACATGTGAATACAGCGTCCGGAAATTAATTAAATTACTGTAGAGCAAATACAAGTCACAAAACTAATATTAGCAGAATATTAAACAATCAGATACATGAAGGTACAGGAAAAAGTTCCAATGTTTCTGGTCCTTTCTGAGAGCACTGATGCAACCTGCTCACAGACCTTTGAGAGTTCTTGCTGTTCTTCACTTAGATGATCCTAATTAACTCTTCAAGTATTGTTGGCAGGTTTGCTTCTCTGGGTGAGGTCACAGTAGTGCAGAGGTGGGTGTTTTGACTCAGTGTATGTGGCTGGTCCATTCGTCTGGGCATTTCATTGGCAACTAAACCAGCCGTTAGAGCCAGTTTCAGGCAAACAAATATGTTTTGAAAATTCCTCCCATCTCCAAAACAGATGGTGAAAGGAGGGAGTCAGAAAAAAAAGAGGTAGTAGTGTCAAAATAAATAGAAAGGAGTGAACATAAATTACATTTAAATAAAAAGGACAGAATACATGGAAAAAAGGCTGCTGAGTTGAGGAAAGACAAATATTCAATATATTTTAATTTAAAAATGCTGTTAGTTATTACTATATTAGGTATTAAACGATTGTCATGGGTAAGTTTATAACTGTAAAACTGCTCTTTATAGAATCACAGTAAGTAATCATGGAGGAGGGAGATGCTGGTAAAATAAGAGTTAATTCAATTCACCCTAACTTTGACTTTACAACCAAGATGCAATTAAAAATAAAAAAAATAAAAATTAGAGGGAAGTATAAATATAAATGAACTTAAGTGACCCAATAGACATGTGAGTTGAATGCAAGAGTTATCCATGCTATGGAGGACTTCAAACATTATATTATCAATAAGACCAAAAACTTCCTAGGGGACCTTGAAGAGATGTATATGATTTTAAATGGGATTTGAGAAAGTGAAGCCAAAATAGTTCTTTCAGATATGCCAGGTTAGCAGAACAAAAGGAGAGAAATTCAGGGTAACAAAGGGCCATTTGAGATCAGTCAGCAGGAATTATTTCTTTACCCAAAGAGTAATTAAAGAGTGGAAAAGGGTTACCAGAAATGGTCGTTCAATCCAGGATACTGGACTCATTTAAGAAATGGATTGATGCTATGGTGGTAGGATGTGAGGGTGGATATTCTTGAGGGATGAGAACAAATGAGCCAAAGGGCCTTCTTCATTTGAACTGCTCTTGTGATTTTGTATGGTTGCCCATTCTTTGTATAACTTCTTTCTGTCAGTGATGCGTACATGTACTTTAGTTTTATTCACAAATTTACCAATTATTAAAAATTTAGTAGACTATGGAAAGTCACAAAAATAGTGAAGACAACAATTGATAGTCATGTATGCATTCATGGTATTGTATTAAATAGGAACTCTTTAAATGTATTCATGTTATTAAAAATAAGATAATATGTACATATGCATGGAAAATTTACACGTTTATCTCTAAAATTCCACTTAATTATGAGATCTCTCAAATAATTATGGGATTATTTCACATGGTAATGCTTGTAAAAAATAAACTGGCTGTATTATTCACATAAAGATTTGCAGGCTTCGTGAACAAATATCCACAGGGCAATAATTTCTTTACTCTGAAGGGTTTAGAAATATCTGGAGGGTAGCAGATAAGATTTGAGTTCTGGGGATGGGTGAATATTGTGGAGATTTTGCTTGATTGACTTTGGAGTTGGGAAAAATCTGGACAACAAAAATGTCCCCCTTGGAACCGTGGGTTGAGTGCGGCAATTGATAAACTAGGTTTTGCATATCCTACGAATGGAATGAGCTTAATGGTTCTTGAGCAAGAGGAACAAATCAAAACAAATCTGAGAAATACTACTTCAGTGAGTGAATGAATAGTAAGTGTAGGAAAAGGCTCCCAAGGGAGTCAGTGGAAGCAGAACGTGCTGATTCTTTCAAGAACGTATTAGATAAATTTTGGTTAGGAAATAATATCTCGGGATACAGTATACAGTGTGGGACATGACATGTGCATGCGACTGCCAGGATGGTGGAAGGCAAATTGGATGGATCTTGGTTTTCTTTTGTCTAGCAATTCTTATCTTCTTATGTGCTAACTCTCTTGGCAAGTCAACTCACTCATCTCCTGCATAACTCTACGTGATATCTGCAGAGGACTGAAAGCAGAGTATTTGCCTTCAATCAATCAATCAATCAATCAATCAATCAATCAATCAATCAATCAATCAATCTTACAGTGTAAGAATTTATAGAATAGGAGAAACTAAAATAGGAGAAACACCTGTTGCTGAAATGGGATTTTTTTTGTTTTAAAATCTATTCATTTGGAAAATCTACAAAAAGCCGTTATTTGTACACCTCGAAATAGTAAAATTCTATAGTGTCCCTGACAGAACAAAATGATTTGGAAAATATTTTGCTGCACAAATCTATTACTATAATTATGATGAACAACTCATTTAAGAAAAAATACATTATTTCTCTAGATGCTACTTTGTGCTAATACCAGCTATTTGTGTCTATTTCTTCCCTGACAGCCTATTGGATCTTTGAACCCAAAACGTGCAGTCTTCTATGCTGAACGGTATGAGACATGGGAGGACGATCAAACTCCACCTCACCATTACAACACACACTATTCTACAGCTGCCTCCACGCTGTGCTGGCTTGTCAGAATTGTAAGTATCTTTTTCTGATTGTAACACTATCACGGTTAACTCCGATGGAGCAGTCACAACTACGCCCATTCTATTTTTCAATACAATGCTATAATTATGTATTTTAAAAAATACATTGTTTTCCACTGTTTCTTCCTCTCCATTAGGTCCCTTGACACCCAAACAGGAACTGTTTTCCAGCTCAGGGAAAACAGTGACCTGCTCCTGGGCCTCCACCGATATTCAACATCTGGCTTTCTACAGTTACATGAAATGAGCTATTTTTTCCCACCCTACCTATGGGGAAGTGTCAGGATTAATCAATACCTCTCCAAGAATGGCATAGCTGAAATTGGAGAAGTGGGCAAGTGAAATGTAACAGGTTTAAACTCACATTCTGTTTTTATGTCCAGTCGTGTCCCATCATGGAAATGCACCATCAAACTGTTAATACAGACATGTTTTCTAACATTTCATTCCTTTCATAAAAGTCTGGAAGGATATAAATACTTACAAACAAATACTTTTTTTATGAATAATTAGGTAAGATTACAATAAAATAATAAATAGGTTACCTTATAACAAACTATTACGTTGAAACACATCAAAGCACATCACACAATAGAATTTACAATGCATTATTCACTAAATAATGAGAGAGTTGCAGAAGTGTATTGCACTGACTTTCAGGGAAAGCCACTCTGACTTGATCTACTTCAGATCAGAGTTACTATTTGCAACTTGGAGTTATTTGTTATTTGTTGAATCCATATTTAGCGAATAGCGCATTTTTGATTCCAAAGAGTTATTTCTGAAGTTTTGTGGCACGTGCTATGCAGTCATTTGCAACAGCTAATTTGAACCAACAATGTCACATTAGCAGCAATGAAATGAGTGACCAATTAATCTATTTTTAGTTCATTTGAATGAAGGAGGAATATTATCCTGAAGACTGCGAGAACTCCTTACTCTTATTTAAAATACTGCAGTGGGATGTTTAACAAATGCTAATCAGAAAAGAAATTCCCCTTAATGATCCTGGATGTGATATCCCCTTAATGACCCTAAATGTGTGATTTCTAGCTCTTATACTGATATAAATCAGGCCAAATTTGCTGTTAATTATCGTGTTTGCATGTCAACTATTAAAAGTTAGTTGGATGCGCAAATTCAGTACACAAGTATTTTAATTGGCTAACCATAACAAAGTCAATATTTTCTTGCAAAGATGTAAGAATTGGTAATTAAGGAAAAGTTATTCCGAACCCTTGCCTAATGGTCACTTTTCACAATTTTTTGCATAAAAATAATTATATTAGTTTAAGAAACCTTACATTTGATAGAGTGTCTCAATTCGAAATTCTTAAAGCACTTCACAGAATTTAGTTTTCTGTAAGGCATTCACAATATAGTGACTGTGTATTTACAGGTGGACATGAGAGCCAATATGTGTCTCTAATGTTTCACAAACAGATAAGGAGTAACTTATCTCTTATCTACGCATTTGTCACCTCCCGCCTCGATTATTCCAATCCATTACCCTCTTCGTCAGTCTCCCTAGCTCCACCATTCATAAAATCAAATTAATTCAAAACTCTGCCGCCCATATTGTCACTCACACAAACACTGTACCTCCATTATCCCTGTCATTGACAAGCTCCACTCACCCCCTTTACAGAATGGATCGATTTCAAGATTCTTTGACTTATGTACAAATCATCTCCTACCTCTCTGATCTACTTACACCCTACTCCCCTACTTGCCCCATTTGCTCAGCAGGCTTCTCTATTTGTTTGATATTAAGTTAAATAGCTCCAAGATGTGTGTATGACAGGTATTATCTTGGAAATTCATATGTGACTCGGTACTTTCAAAATCAGACTTTTTAAAATGTTCCCTCTTTTGTCGTTAATCGTATTGTATATAAACAATGTAGCTTACCTACTTCAATATAAACTAAAGTTTTAGAAAAACCTGTTAAATAATTGAAAAATTGTTAATAATATTAATAATCCTTGCATCCTAATAATAATCCCTCCAAAAAAACAAAAACAATAATAAAATTGGTCATTTTCAATCTACGACTGTTTGTGGGACATTGCTGTGCGCAATTGGCTGCCGCGTTCGCCCACAAATAATATCAAATGCAAGGATTATTATTATTATTATTATTTGATATAGCGTTTTTCACCTCGGGAGGACGTCCCAAAGCGCTTCACAGAACACACTGTAAAGTGAATTGACTGTATATTTGTGGACGAACGCGGCAGCCAATTGCGCACAGCAATGTCCCACAAACAGTCGTAGATTGAAAATGACCAATTTATTATTGTTTTTGGTTTTGGAGGGATTATTATTAGGCGTGTGGAGTAAGGAAACTTGCCCAAGGTTTTGCCTTGCCTGGAATTGAACTCAGGTCTCTCGCTTGCAAAGCGAGTGCTCTAACCACTGAGCTACAGGACTCCAATAATATATCTAAAGTAAAATGCTAGCAGGTATGGAGCAGATTACCGAAACCGAGAGTTAACTCGATTGTGAAATTCTGTTGCCAAGCACGTCACTTTGGAGCCAGCTCAGCTCCAAGAAGACCCCGCTTACGCCACTATCCCCACACTCCTCCTGAAAGATAGTCTATGCACTATACTAAGTGGAAACCAATTATTTTCAGTGCAAGGATTTAAGTTGTCAAATGTACAACAATTCACCTTTTTTTAATTAAATAATTTAAAATCATATTTACATTATTTTTCAAAAATAGTATTGTTAGCTGTGATAACATTAAAAAAGGTCATTTCAAAACACTGTTGTTGAGATTAGTCTTTTATTCTTCATGTAGCAAAATCAAAATCATTGTATTTTTAAAGAGCAAGACTTTGTAGCTAATGCAAAGAAATCAGATTGGTAGACTGAGTATAACTGTATTAAAGGTTTGGGCAGGCAGTCAGCCATATCTAATAAAATCGATTAAGTTGTGCTGTTTGACATGAAATTACAAAATCAGATTAGGCAATGACATAACCTTTAGATTCCACATGTAGATAGCTTTATGATGTTTTAACAAAACATTTTAGGATGATTCTGTAATTCCACATCAATTCTCTTCCCTCCATTTGTGCTCTGCACAATTGCTATTTGTACGTGAACAAATAGTTTGTGAGAGCAAGTGTCTGCAAGTATAAGATCAATTTTCCATCCATTTTTTAATTTTTGCCAGCTCTTGACCCCTCCCCATCAGCATTAAATGGGTGTAAAGAAGGGACCTGTTATTAAGAATCAGGATATATGTCCCTTGCAAGAATTTGCTATCTCAACCAGTCTGTTTGTTGCAACATAAAGCTAATTTGTGTCAAGTAGACTCTAATCCCATTATTTTCCCACAGTTTTATAAATGTAATCAACCAACATATATTAATATGTGCATGAAAACATTTGCTTTGTATCACTGCAGTGGTGCTTTTAATTGTAGCTTGTTTTGTTCAGTACAAAACTACTCTTTTCTCATTGCTACCATTATTTTAGACCACTATCCTCATTAGGATTATTTAGTTCTGCTTCATACTGGAATCTGGACAAATAAACTGTAAACTTCCCCATGGTTCCACAAGCTGTTCCCCTGATGAAACAATGAGGTACAATTGGGCAAAGTGGATAAAGTGATAGTTCTCCAGGAGGCATCTTAGTATATGATGTAACCAACAAACACATAATTATCATACTAAGACTCTAATCTATGTCTGATCACTGCACATCAGAGATTGCTCCATTGCAGAGAGTGATGTATACATTGGAATATCTGTGCTTTCCTTCTCAATAGCCAAGTGCTTCATTTAAAAAGACATCTTAAAGTACACTACAAAAACTCAAAATGATTTGGTACCTTCACAGCTGACCAGCCTGTTTCTCCTGGTGTCCTGGCCAACAAATCCCCCAAATAAAATTGCTCACTCATTCATGGCCGCTTTGTCGGACAGTGCTGTGTGCAAATTGGCTGTCACATTTGCCCACAAGATACATAGTATATCCGCTTCACAGTATACCCTATGAAGCACTTTGAGACGTGTCAACAATGTGATCAGATGCTATATCAAACACAAGGATTATTATTATTAAGGAGTCCAGCAACAAATGAAACACACACTAAAATAAGTTCTGGAGCAGCAGAGCCAGTATCACGAAACCCAAAGCCATAAATAGGAGAGCATGTTCAGCACAGCAAGCAAAAAATCTGAACCGCAAATTCCACACCAGTAACATGATTGCAGAATTGCAGAAGTTTATAATTCAAAAAAGCATAGAGGTTATATTATTAGTCTTAAAGTTATTTTCTGGTATTCAGTTCCAAGGGATGTTCCATTTTCCTAAGTTTAGAAATACCATTCTTCTCTTAGGTTTTAATCAGTTTTTGTGAATGTACTCATTCCACATTGTTCAGTAAAATAAATATATCTGCTTCACCTTTATAGGAGCCTTTCACCATATTTTTCCTCAATGCAAATGAAGGGAAGTTTGATTATCCAGAACGGACATTCTCTTCTGTGGCAAAATCATGGCGGAACTGTCAAAGGGACACATCAGATGTAAAAGTAAGTTGTGCAAAACTGTATTATACATTAATATATTATAAATAAAATTGCATTACAAGAATTTTTCCCAGAATGATTAAAGTCCTTGTCTACTGTCAGTGCCCACCGTGTTATTAAACCAGTCAAAGATCTTAACATTTTTAATTTTCAGCTTGAAATACAGAATGCAACTAGAAAAAATAAATTTGAAGCAAGCACATTCCTAAAATATTTTACACAATTCTCTGTATTCTCTCTTGTTCCACCCCCTCAAAAGCTAATTCTTGACTAATAGATGTTATTTAGTATGGCTGCCCATTATTAACTTGGACTGTAAATGAGAGGTCCAGCATAATAATGATTCTGCGGGTATTGACTTGATGTATTTTTTCCTCTGGAGCAAAACGCAGCAGGAATGCTATTCGACCTCAATGTGTCATATTAATACAGTTCAATCCAACACGGTTTTGAGTTGCCCAGTGCAGTTAATTAGTGCATTGACTTGCACTATTTTAAACATAAAATGTTCTATAAAGCAATGCTTTATTTACTGTGGATTGTATGCATTGCAATGTAACTTCATTTGTATGTAATATGAATGGGGAAGAAGTGGAATTGATTTAAGTACAAAACATATATATGTTTCTACAATTAGTCTAGGTTCTGTGTTAAAAAGTGCAGGTTGGGATTGAAACAAAAGAATTGTTTGATATATGATCTTTCAGTCCCCAATTTTGGTCAAGAATCTATGTTTTACAATCTTTCTTTATTAATGCTGGCCTCCTCCTGTGGTAATGAGAGCAAGCTGGGAGAAGAGCGACTGTTACTAAGGTGACCTTTCAGGAAACAAGTCACCCGGAAAAGACCTTAGCTAGTCCAGTTGGCTTCACACTGATTTTTTTAAAATGTAGTGACAGGCAAAGGAACCACTGTCCAGACTGCTTTTCTTTATTCAATAAAAACTGTTTAAAGTAGCCACTGTGTGTTCTCAAAAGATTTAGCAGGCCTCACGAGTTTGACAAAATGCCATTAAAGTGGTGTAAATTAATACAGTTAATGAGGAGGGTTTTCTAAATGATTAGTTGGTCCATTATGAGTCTGTTGCAGAATTAATGGACGCCAAGGGATCAGGAGCTAGAAAAGAGATGGCATTTTTAAAAGCTTGCAGTGAATTACATTAGAAAAGTGGAAACGTATGCTTTGGATTTAATTTCACTGTCCAGCCATAATAACACAAGATTCTGATAACGACGGAATGTAAACTTTATATAGGATGTGGTGAAAAGTGTACAGTTGAGATTAATTCAGTAATAATAGAAACAGGCTGTAACTATCTTGCACAGCTGTGTTACACACAATTAATTCACACTTGATTAGTATAGTATTCTTCAATGCCTTTTTTTCTATTTGGTGCAATGTAGGAGACCAAGGTATATTGCGTTATTAAAATCCTTAGTAATTAAATTAAGGAGGACTGTGAAATAGAGTGTGCATACTTGGAGTTTCCGCTTGCATTGCATTTTCCCTAAAGCTTTTGTGATATTGTTGTACCTTGGAATAAAATCCATTCATACGGCACAAAGAAAAGTGCATATTTTAGCAATTGAAAATATTAAAAACATTTTCTGGATTGCTGGAGGTAAAAGTCTTGGGTGCAACACCTAAAAATGTCTTTTCCAGACCACATCCCCAGCACATTACAGGACTGAGGTATCAAATTTAATTGGTTACTTTAGTGCCTGTAGTGATTTTTTTTACATTATACCTCTGTGACCCTAGAAAAGATTACATGGAGAGTCAGATTTCAAGCCGAGTGTCGCCCGTTTTGATCATGTTACACATTGTAGTGCCTTAATGCTTGTAACAATGTAATCTGGTGAATTTAATCTCCTGCTAGAAACTGGGAAATCGGAGGCTCCAGGCAGATTTTATTTAAAAAATTGTGTTAGCATATGGCATAGGAAAGAGAAAGGAAATGTTAATGTTAGTCGATTTAAATAAGGAAAATGAGAAGAATTGCAACTTGTTAGGATTATACTTGTTAGATATTGGAGCGTTAAGGAAAGTTTTCAAAATAAAAGTAATGAAACGCTGATAGATGCCAAGGCACAAATAAAACAGTGGGTTAAATATTCCAATTGGTAATATGTTAATTGTACTGTTCATAGCTCTACCTTGTGTAGTTTAGTTCTGTAACTAAAGACGTTGACTGTTTTTTAACCCCTTCTCCCCGATTTTGTCACAGTGATTGGGCTCAAAGCTCAATGGAGTGCTAGTTAGCAGATACTAGTTTATGTCATTAAGTAAAATTTGAATAAAGCTGATCTCCTGCTAACTGGCAGTCTCATACATGTCCAGTGTCTAATCAGCAGGCTGACAAGTCCATCGCATGCCTTGTCCGGCTTCAGGCCAACCACTGTGATAAAGTAATAATCCTTGCATTTGATATCACGGATTTCTTTTGGGATGGCATCTTAAAATACTTAACAACATTAATGTAAAATGTAGTAACCGTGTACTTGTAGGAAGTCAATTTGCACACATCAGTATCCCACAAACAGCCATGACTAATTTATAATCTTGAAGATTCTTAGTCAGGTAACTGAGAGAAACCCTTTCTCTTTTCAAATAGCGCCGTGCCATGTTTCCCGTCTACCTGAACAGATATACAGGACCTCAGCTTAATAACTCATTGAAGCATTGCACCTCTGACAATGCAGTACTCCCCCAGGCACTGCACTGGAATGCAGCCTAGAGTATGAGCTCAAAGTCCCAAAATAGGGCTTGAACTTACAAACATCTGACTCGGAGGCAAAAGTGCTACCAAACGCACCAAGATAAAACCTATATAGCAGACTAGAGAAAATATAAAAAAGGCAATTATTTATCCTCAGCAATAACGTCAAGACATTCTGAGTTCCTGTTATAAAGCCATTTGAAGTAACAGAATTAAAAAGACAAGTATTAATAAAAGTTGTGTACAAATTCAAGGTTTGAAATATTATGACCTATTGCATTAAGCTTCAAAGCTCAAATGTTTTTGGTGTCTTTACAAATCTAGGATAATTTCTTTATAGTTTAGTTTTTTTTAAAAATCGAGTTAGAAATGCACTTTGCTTCAGTACGTTTCCCTAATTTAATTTCTAATGTTCAGTACTAGAAGTTTTCCCCCAAAAATCAGTTGTCAGGTTGAAACATGGGTATTTTTCAGGATTTCAAACTGGAAAAGATATAAAGTAATGAAAGCTTTACTTAAAATGCACTCAGAATCATGTGTAATTCATACAGAAACATACACTCGGATTTCACTTAATGGGATTTTGTGCTAATGTCTCTGGACTGTCTTTATTTTAAACATTGTATCACTGAAGAAATGTCTATTTCCTTTCCAGTTATGAAATATTTATGATATAAAAAAGTTTATTTTCCTCATATGGCTTAATTTTGAACTTTAGAGTTGTATCAGACAACTTATTTTTAATGTTTTGTCATGTCACATCATAATTAAACAAACAAGAACATCTTCAAATATACTATCCCTATTCCAGGAGTCATTTTGCTCCACTTTAGGTCCCTCTACATTATTCCCCAATCCATCAGACAGACATTTTCTTCCTCTTCATCTATTCACTTAACAAGGGCGGCATAAACCTAGACTTGTCGGATGACTAATAGTAATGACCAACTAGTGCCTAACCTCCTTGGGTAAGCAAGATGTAATGCTGCCAATTAGAATTGCATCAATCCTCTGTGGCGATCTCAGTAGTGCTGTTCCTGATCCAGGCAGGTCCATAGTATTCCAACGCACTTTTGATGACAGACAATTGGAGGGTCAGGTTAGCTCCTGCCAATCTATGCCTAATATTTTCTGAAATTAGGTAAGCAGGATGCGTCCCTTCAGGGAGGAAGTACGCACTCATTCTCGTCAAATTTCTAAGGGGCATGTGAAACCGTCTAGTTTAGATACTGTTAATCATGGCGTTGGATTACAGCATGTGTCAGACACCCGGTGCACCTAAAAAAAAACTCTTCCTGAACTCTCACTAGCCACTAGGATGTATCTGTGAGTGGCACATGCAGATTTGCCTTTGAGATTTTCCTCTTTACACCCATGGGATCTTGCTCTGACTCGACCCAGTCTTCCAGACAACCTGGATCACATCAGCATCTCAGCACGTGAGCAGTCTTGCAGCAAACCCACATGGTACCATTTCAAGGTGCACCGGAATGCTGCACTACTGAAGCATCACCTGCATCACACAGTTTAATGAGATGTGACAAAACACCGCAACAATCTTCATTACATGTTCTTCCGATGTAAATTACATTAATAAAGATAGACCTAATAAAAAAACAAGATGAACAAAAATCAGTAACAGCTCATTATCTGCCAAAGTAATCACATTGCTTACAATCATGTTTATGTCGATTTTTGCAGATTAAATAATTCATACCTTATTTTTGTTTAAATTCACAATATTTGGGGGATGGTTGCTTTGTGTGTTCAAAATAAGCTTTTTTCCATTAAGAAAATTGTAATTTAATAGATTCTGCCCTTGCCTAATGATTGTCAGTTGATAAGAAACTGAGTTTCATAAGGTGATGGATGCAAATTTCTTTTTCAATCTATGTTTTTTAATGTATTAACAGCTTGCATTAACAAATGAGATTAGTCTGTTTTGCCTCTTGGAACCTCGGCTTTATTAACATGCAGATCAATGTTCTTCACAAATGGAACATTCCCCTTCACCTCACTTCCTCCCTTGCCTCCTTCAAGGCACACCTCAAGAGCCTCCTCTTTGACCGTGCCTTGGGCCACCCTCTCTGCCCTCCACCACACACCCACCACCACCACCCCCCAACCTCCGCTCCGCTCAGGTCCTAATCCCTGACTGTTCAGTGCCTTGGGATGTCCTCCCAACGTGAAAGACGCTTTACAAATGTAATTTTGTATTGTATTGTATGTAAATTTAGAAATTATGTCAAGATATCCATTTGTTTGCTAGGAACTCATATATCTTTTATGAATGATTTGGATAATTTAATTGCACTTGAAAGCAAAGGGGCATCTAAATTTAAAGTTTTTACTTGTGTGGTATCTAAAGTAATAAACTTTAGTACATTCCAATATGACAATGATAATTTCAGGTCATACAAATCCATTAAGCAGATAACATAGTTTGCTCTGAGTTGCATAGTGGTCATGCATGTAATCATTTTTAAATACATATTACAATTCATTATACCCGGAATGTAACCTATCATTGCAGACAAATTATATCAAATGAGGTGGTAAAGTTTGACAAAAAATATAAGATTTTAAATAAAATTAACTTTTTCTCCTCTCACTTGACCAGGAGTTGATCCCAGAATTCTACTACTTACCCGAAATGTTTGTGAACAGTAATACCTATAATCTTGGTGTCCGAGAAGATGGGACTGCTGTTTCTGATGTCGAGCTTCCACAGTGGGCAAAGAAGCCAGAGGATTTCGTCCGTATCAACAGGATGGTAAGAATGATGTCTGGTTCTTGAATAATATTGGGTAAACTGCAAGTAGCCTTTCTTCCAAGACTGCAAATGGCTAGACCTTTCCCAAAGACATTTTCTTGTAACCTTATTAAAGTGTTCAATACTAACATGATTTTAGTTTGACCTCTATGATGTTACCAAAGGACAGAAGCACCGAGTGTCCCTGATAATATTACATGATAGCTGGGCTTCATCAATCATAATTTACCAGTTTTAAAAAGCTTTTCGCAGATGTGCATCAGCAGCATTACTCAGCCATTCAATCCCAGCAGGCTTTTGTGAGGAGATGGCCATAAATAGAACACGTTCAGCTTGTTGTTCAAGTATGCCGAATATCTGGAGGCAAAGGAGTCGGCAGCTAAGGCATTCTGGGAGTGTTGTTGTCAGCTTCACTTTGTTTCAAATTGGAAAGCTCATAGCCACCAAATGCTCTGTTCATAATATTAACTTCAATTTTCAATAGAAAATCTTTTTTCTAATTATTCAATTCCACTTAGAACTTAGATTTTTTAAAAATTGTCCAATAACCAAGCTCCATGCATCAAAATAGATATACGGAACTGAATCAATCAGTACTTATCTCTGTGTAATACAGCTCTTCACCTAACACCATTATGTCTTACTACAGGTAAATTCAGTTGTTACCTATGTGACATTTGTAGCAGCCAAATGAAGCCAAATTAACACATAATTCAGCACCTATTTGGCATTATTAATGATGCAATTTTGGTTGACTCAACCTTTCAGAAGGACATTTGAAAGTGGATTGTGAAAGGGTGACTCCTTTGCTTTGCACTAGAAGCAAAGATATTAATGGCCATGTTCTTATGTTATTATTAATCATTGCTTTTGATGTAGCACCTTATCACTTATCCTTATCATCTAAATGGCTCAATGCAATTTTACTGTAAAGTGTATTGACTGTGTAATGTTGTAGGAAAGTGCATCATCCAATTTGTGCACAGCAGTATCCCACAAATAGCCAAGAATGAGTGGCCTAATTTTATACAGTTGGTCATCCATTCTTGGCTGTTTGTGGAGCATTGTTAACTAGGACATCGGAAGAAACTCTCCAGTCTTTTTGAATAGCGCGATCTTTAACATCCGCCTGAACAAGCAGATATGAAGGACAGTGTGTCCGACAATGCAACATTCCCTGTCAACTTGGAATATGAGCACAAAAGCCCCAATAAAGGGGTTGAATCCACAGACTTCTGACTCAGAGGCAAGAGTCCTACCAACTGAGCCAGGCTGACACCGTTCCAACTCATTAATTCTCCATTCCTCCCTTTCCCTCTCCCCTCTCTCTTGCTGGTGTCCAACCCCATCATCGTAAAGCACCTTATCTTATACCTTATCTTTTGTGAAGGGTACTCAATATAAATGCAAGTTGTTGTTGTCCTTAATTAACCCACGATGAGTCTTCTCCGATGATGGAAGAAATTTTAAGGCTGTATACTGCTAGTGGCAAGTGTACACACTAAAATGTGGCAATGTGGGGATTTCATCACAAGTGCTGCATAATTATATTTAGTTAAGGGGTATCTTGACAGAAGCCTTAAATTTATAAGGGCATACAATGATAGCATAATTAGTGATGGATTATTTCTACCGGTGAGCAATAAAGAGACACAATTTTAAAACGGGATCAAAAAAGATTGAAGAGGCGGTTTTTAAAAAAATCTTTACAAACAGGGTGATTCGGATGTAGAATTTTCTGCTACAAACTGTTCATAAGGCAGAGACATTAAAATCTTTTAATAAGGAATTATATAAATGCCCGATAAAGAATAAGATTAAAGGGTTTTGAGGAGCAATCAGGAGATTTGGATTACAACAACAACAATAACTTGCATGTATATAGTGCCCTCCACGCAGGCTAGCGTCTCAGAACGCTTAAAGCGATTAGTCTCAGGGGCCCAAGTGGAGAAAAACACCAAATAGAATTGATTGGCCAGGTGACCTGTTTCTGTGCTGTAACATTTTGTGATTCTATGTTCACATTGGTGAGCGCAATCCACAAATTAAACCCTCAAATTTGACAGAATTAGGTTTGCACTATAAAAGGTCCCTTGCTCGTTACACAGTCTTGTTTCTGTTCAAACAGTTTGAGGGGAGGTCTGGCTCTATTCATGTCACAGAACTAACCATTTCAGAGCTCTGTTGCCTTTGCAATGGAGACGCCGGCTGGTACTTACCTCCTAGGTTGCCTAATTATGTAATTTGTCTCTCAGGCCTGCAACTTCTCTTACGTGACATTGTCAAGTGAACAATGCCACACTGTTTACATGAAAGTATACATTTTGTATTAAATTCTCTGATTTACAATCTAGTCAGGTTTTCATTTCAAATAATAGTTTGAATAAAGAAAATATGTTTTGGGGGAAGAATTAATTTTACAAAAACAATTTCAATAAATGTTCAAAAAAAATTTCTGAATGTTTCAAAGGGCTAAAAAGTTGTGTTTATATGTGGGACAAAAGCATTGCTATATGCTTATAGGGTTAACATCTCTTGAAGGTCAGAATACAGCTGTTAAATGGAATCAGGAACTGTTTAAGGTTTGGAAACTGCAAACTAATTTAAAACAGTGCACAGACAGCTTGCGTAGACATTTTGGTCTATGTGTTCTAATATTCAACTCTGAAATATCTCTTTACTGTTGTAAGTTCTGGAAAGCTGTTTAAACATGATGATGGCAGCTAAAATGTCAGCATAATTCAGTAAACTGCGGTGACTTGACCTTGAAGATGACTACATTATGATGATTTGTATTTCCTAATTCTTAAATTGTTCGGTGAACAGAGAAAATGAAAATGTATGAGGTCAGGCTACAATGATATGATCAGATATACCTGTCAAATATTTTCTTAAAGGGATGGTAACTGCTTTTAAGGTTTGTAGATTATTTTAAACTTGAAAAGGGCTTTCATACTGTTAGTTTTAAAAAGAAACCGGAACGCAAATTAGTATAACGTCTGATAAAAATCAGAATAATGCTTGCAGTCATCATATTTAACACTTTGCGTGAGCTTGGGTAAGTTAAAGAGAATACATTTTACCTTGATTTCCACCTTATATCTTTAAAAATTCAAAAATTACCCAAAACTGTAAAATGCAAATCATTTTGGTAGCCTAATGATTCAAATTTCTCAACCGACAGAATTTGAAAATTGGGACTATGATTCAGTCTAAACAATTTTCCATTGGAAACGAAAGAGAAACAAAATACACCCCTTATAATTGTACAATATTATAGAGACGTGCATTTTAAATATATATATATTGTTTTCCTACAGGCCTTGGAAAGTGAATTTGTTTCTTGCCAACTGCATCAATGGATTGACCTTATTTTTGGATACAAACAACGAGGGCCAGAGGCAGTTCGTGGTCTCAATGTTTTCCACTACTTGACGTATGAGGGTTCAGTGAATCTAGACAGTATCACAGATACTGCCCTTCGAGAGGTATGCAAAATAAAAGCATCAGATGCTAAAATTGTAACACGTACTGATAGGTTACAGTTTTCTACAGTTGCGAGGACACACACAAGTACTTGTTTTGTGCTGCAGAAGTCTATTTAACCTAATTTTTTCCAACAATCTGCTTCACATGCAGTTTAAAACTCATATTTGTAACTAGCCAAAAATACCTCAGATATTGTTCATAACCTCTTGTGTGCGAATTAATTTTGAGACAGTAGGCTTATTGCTCAGTTTATTTAGAAGTAACATGCATTGCTATGGGCTACAGGTCAATATTCAACCTACACTTGTCATTTTGCATTGTATTTTTCAAAATGCGCTGATAAAAAATAAATCCAAAATTTGTGGGGATATTTTTGATCCTTAGCAAAGCAAAGAGGTTCCTTTTGTAAAGATATGTTATGTGAATGCTATGTGAAAGACTTGATGTGATCCGTTAGATATACCTGTCAAATGTTTTCTTGAAGAGATAATATTTGTTTTTATTGTTTGTAGACTATTCTAAACTCGGAAAAGGCTTTCACACTATTAGTTTTAAAAGGAAACTTCAACACAAATTATTGTATGGTCTGCATCTGGTTGGTATTTTGTGGAAATCACCATGTGGAGTCCAGTAGCTTAGTGGTTAGAGCACTCGCCTTGCAAGCAAGAGGACCTGGGTTCAATTCCCTGCAGGGCGAAACGTTGGGCATGTTTCCTTACTGCACATACCTCTGTTTACTTAGCAGTAAGTAGGAACCTGATTGTTAGTCAATTGGCGGATCGCTTTTCCATGGGTAATAATTCCTTCAAAAAACAATTAATTTGATCACTCAATCCACGACTGTTTGCGGGACACTGCTGTGCACAATTGGCTACCGCGTTTCGCCTCCAAAACATACAGTCAATTCATTTTACAGTATATTCTGTGAGACGTCTAGAAGACGTGATAAGGCGCTATATCAAATGCGAGGATTATTATTATTATTATTATTGGGTGACTACAAGTAATAGCAGAATTCTATTTTTTTTTTAAAAATTTAAATGAAAATTGTAGCATCCAATACAACAGAAAGAAGCATAAACAATATAAAGAGAACCTTGCAGGCCATGGAGAGGTAAGCATTCTAAATGTTGGCCGCTTCTCCTTGGTGTTTTTCCCCATCACTCCAGTCCTTGCCGGCTCCACTGGTTCCCCATTGCAGAGCAGCTCAATTTCCAGATCCTCCCATGCACCTACAGATCACTTAAAGGTTTCTAGCACCTCCCTACCTCTACAACCTGCTCACACCCCCCTCCTCTAATAAAATAATAATCCTTGCATTTGATATAGCGTTCTATCACGTCGTTGAGGAGTCTCAAAGCGCTTCACAGAATATACTGTAAAGTGAATTGACTATATGTTGTGGGCAAAATGAAATAAGCGCCCCTTTCACTTAGCCAGCTGAAGCCTTTTGCACATCCCTTAACCTCTCTTCTCCACCATCGGCAGCCACGCTATTAGCTACTATACCCACACCTCTGGCACTACTTGCTCAATCCCTTTGTGTTATCCCCTCTTTGCCCATCTTCAGACCATACCTGAAGACTTTCCCCTTCACCTCCCCTTTCTCCCTGGCTCAGCATCAAACTACACCATTGTTAAGTGCTCCAAGATGCCATACCTCATGAAGGACGCTGTATAAATGCAAGTTGTTGTTCCTGTTTTCCTTACCCCAAAATGCATGAGACCTGTTGTCCCTTCAATGTCAATGGTTAAAACAATCAACAAACGAACAAAACTTACACAAGGAGAGTTGGAAGTCATAAAAATATCTTATAGGGTTACATCTCTTTCAAAGCACCTTTCCTTTGTCTGGGCANTTTTTTGGACAATTTTGTTTGAAGGTCAACACAACATGATTTTAATGGGCCCAGAGAAATCCTTTTAGGATATATTTGCACCATTTAAGGCTATATACATGTGTAACAAATCTGCCACTAAAAGACAAAACTCATCATTATCATTAATGTCACAGTGTAGTATTTCACTACATCAAGCTGTGTAATTTAAGACCATAAAAAACCCTTTCAAGCCTTTGGGCTGTTGAGTAAATGTAGACTGGTGTGATGTCACGTGCTGAATCTACACAGATAAATATATGCTGTCGGCAGGTCAATCAGCGGGATTATTAAATTAAGCTTATTGTTTCTTTGCATAATTTTAAATTGATAAAGTTGACACACATTGTTTTCTTTTAAAAATATATTTGATTTATGCCTTATTCAAAAAAAAAGTTCTGCCCCTTACAATCGCACCAGGTTGTTTCATGAACAAAAGAAACACTAAGGGGTTTTTAATATTTATTCAGAACATTATGAAAACGTGACAGCTGGTATGCAAAGCTTAAGAGAAATATGCTTTGAAACTCCAGTGCAGCAGTGGAGCTGTGTTAGTGTGCTGCAGATATCCCTAGATATTTACCATCTGTTCTGTGCAAAATAAGTATGAATGCAGTTGGGTAAAGAGAAACATTTATAATAAAACAAACTATCTAGCAGAATTCAAGTGAAATACTCTCAGAAAAGAAGAATATATTATATTACTCAATCATCCAACATGACCTTGTTTGGTCCTTATTTTGTAGTTAGTGGTATTACACACATTTTAAAAAGCCTGCAGTGTCATCTCCAGTGTTTCCATTGAGAAATCAGGAAACTAAACAGAGACGGGGAAACAGGCAAAGCCTTGTGTCTTCTCATCTCATTGCTTGCTCTCTGTTCCAACTGTTATGGATGAGTTTTGTTGTGTCTCACTTTGGTTGTTAAGGGAACATGTCAATGGAAATGGAGCGTTCCACCAAAAGGGAAAATGGTGAGATAGTCTGTCCCTCCCTGCCAAAAGCATGACTCGTGTTGGCAGATCACAGAGTAATATTGCCAGAGGCAGGGAGAAATGTGCAGTCTAGACTGACCTAATATGTGGGGCTTTTCCTTAAAAAGAGAATTGAACAAAAAGTTCTATTCATTTCATTTCTTTGTTTTTGTACAGTAAGTTCTACTAAATTGTTAAGGTAAGTGTTTCATACAGTCTTCATTAATGTGCTCTATCCAGCCTACTCTTTGGTGGAAAGAGAAGGGTCAGTTTAGAGGTGTATTCGATATTTTATCACATTTAATAACTTGCTCACTCAATCCACAACTGTTTGTGGACACTGCTGCACGCAATTGGCTGCAGTGTTTCACCTACAAAATACACTGTGCTGAAGAGACGTCTCAATGAGATGATAAGGTACTATATCAAATTAAAGGATTATTATTATTATTAATATGCTGGAGGTCCCCCCCCCCCCTCCCAACCATCACATTGGAGACAATGTCCAAGTAATTGAGCCCACACTATATAGAAATTACATATTGTGCCCTATTACTGCTGGCTAGTGGAACGCTGACATTTTAAGCAGTCAACTCAAAAAGCTGGCATTCCTCTAACCAGGAGTCACAAAGGCATGAGCTGATGTGCAATGCCATATCAATTCGTTCCTTGGATGATACCACTGAAAATGGCATTGGGCGGGCTGGTGGGGGAGGGGGTTTGGATGGAAGAGGTCTATCTCCAGCAAATTTAATGTGACAGTTATTGAATGGACTGCTAAATTGATCCCATAGCTTTCCTCGGATGAAAATGTGCAAATGCAGCCCATAGATATCTTTTTTGTTCAACCGAGCAACCATTGTTCTTTGCCAGTATGTGTATCGAATCCTTCCTGGCTTTTTTTCTCTCCCTCCTTCTCCCAGATGACTTGGTTGAGGCTGGGAAACTAGCCAGCTACGAAAAGCTGAAGCGGAAATGTCAGACAGGATTGGTGTGCAAGTTGCAGGGCTTCTCAGTTGAGAATCAAGTGCCTGAGCACTAGAGCTCTTGATCTGCCACTGTATTCTGTTGCATGAATAATATATTTCTGTATTACAGTTGAAGGTCAGTACACTTGCCTCTGGCTCAGCTTTATGCTCTCCTAAAACTACAAGCCAAAGAATTTACAACTAAGGACCAAATGCAACTGGTCAGATTCCAATATTGCTATGTGCAAAATATTGCCTGACCTGCAATTTAATGGGAACAAACAGTAAACTGAATTTCTAGGATTATCTTGCATCGCACACCAGTGTAGCTTTGTTCCTGATGAAGGTACACTGGACCTCTCATGCAGAAGAAAAGGTATTGGTCTCTACCATCACAAAAAGTTATGGACACACACATAAGCATTTTTTCTGCGTGTGCCTTGCAAGAACCACTGAAGCGTATAACAGCAGAGGGACACAGGATAGTTTTGGCAGGGTGTTGATGAAATACAATCTTGAAAATTAGAATGTCTGCAGTCAGCTTGTGCAAAAATGAACCACTGACAAGGGTCTATAAAAGGTTGAATGCTTTGAAAAGGGGAAGTTGATTTAGATTTAGAATTTGATACGATAAAATGTGCTGAGGATACCACCATTTTTATTTGGTTGGAATGAGAACATAGAGCAGACGTAACAGTAGAATCATTTAGCACTGTCAGGACATTCAGTTTTGATATTAGAAAAACAGGATGGAGCCAGTATAGCCTTATCAATCGCTGAGAACCGACTGCCTATTCCAGAGACATTAGACCAACTCCAGTCTGATCCACACATTGAAACTGCCCCCAGGCTGATTGCACACAGCACTGAAATGGGATGAGCTCATCCATCTATCTCACTGGAAGTTGTTTGAAACAACACTATCTGCTATGGCTGTTGCAGAAGGGTATGTATACCTGTAGCACATCTAGTTGTTGTGGCACTGACAAGAGTGATGTTCCCATTTTAGTGAAGTTGTTTGAAAAGACTTAGTTCACAGTACCAGATCTAAGCATTGATCTGCATCGAAACATAACACAGAGAAATCCGAATATTTTCAGCAGACTTCCATTCTACATCACCACAACTTTCCCAAATCTTGATAAAAGGCATCATAACTAAAAGGAATTTGCATTGAACGT